CTGATGAAACTTAATACCGGTTCAATTTTTTGATTATTTTAAACACGTTTTTCTTTATTTTTTATAAAAAAATGTAAAGTCCTTATTATGCAACGTCGGTAATTACCGTAATGTTTTACAAGACTTTCCGTTGTTAAAAATAACTCGCACATAATCTGGTTTCTACAGCCATGTTTTCCATTTTAACAAATTCATTTGTTTTCACCAATTTTGATTCAAATAAAGGTTTAAAAAAAAAAAATTCTAATTATAAGCATAAACAAAAATAACAATTAAACATCACATTATTCCATCCAAACAAATGTACGACTTGATAGATTTGCTATTGCGAATGGTGCACTCGAATTAAAGTCGATAATGTTTCTTTATGTTCCGTCTGCTTGGCATATTACGATTTTCCACTTGGCTTTACACAAACGTATAAGTTTAATTATTGTGCTACTTCTTTGATCATCCTTCGAACAAGTTAAATAATTAGTTACCTTTTCAAAAGTAACTTACCACTTTTGAATCAATGTTACATTGATATTCGATCGTTGCTAAAAAGAAAAAGGGAATTGATTTCACGATATTACCATGAGATCCACATTTCATATGTAAGCGGAGAAAATTTATCCGATTACATTACGTACTTTTGTTTCTTCCTTTTTATCGATTAAACTGATCGTTGTCCATTAAATTTTACTTTATTGTTACAAGTTCTGAAAATTTGATGAGATAAATAAATATTTTAAAGGTCGGACAATTGAAAAAGTTCGTAAATAGGATAAATTAAAAAATTTTGTTCACGCCAAGAATTGTTTGGGTGGCAATTATCTCGAGCACGTTGGTGTTACAGATTTTCATGTTGCTTGTTTGATTTGGTAAAGAATTTCGGAATTCGCGTCAAGTGCTCTTAGGATCATCGTCGAATTTCGTTAGTTTAGTAAATTAGCATTATTCTATTATTAGCAATCAATTTGGAACACGAGTAAAAAAGCATCCTATTTTTGGCAATGAATTTTTAAATGTTACTAAATACGGATGGATTAACGTTCACGTGATTTAATCACAATTCTCTGATGAATCTTTATTAATGTCGTTAAATAGAGAGAGATAGATAGAAATATATATATGAATCCTCAATTCAAAATGAAAAATAAATATAAAATTGAATTGAAAAATGTTAGATTTGATCAGATAGTCTTAATAGCCGCTACTTCATGCAAGTAGGTGCCAAGCAACTTAATCCCTTCGGTATAATTATACCGATCAAGTTTCTCATTAGTCGAATGAGCTCCCTATAAAATTAAAGGATCAATTATGAATTTAGCCAAATCAATCAATTTCTATAGGTAAATATATCAATACTTACATCATCACCTCTACCCATCGGAAGCAAGAGAACATTCTTATTTAACGCGTCTTGAAAAGTAAGAGTAACAGGAATGGACCCTCCTTCTCGTGTCAAATCAGGTTTGCACTTAAAAACCTTTTCGACAGCATTAGCTGCTGCGACTGTGACGGATTTATTTAATAATGTTATAAGAGATTGATTTCAAAAAAAAAAAAAAAGATCTCGCTAAAAGAATTAAATAACATACCGAAATTCCAGTGATTAGGGCTCGAAACCCATGGTTTAGCACCATGCACACATTCTACTTTAAGCTTATTTTTACTTCCCAATTTACCAAATTCTTCTTTAAGGAATTTATCGACACAAGCCGTAATTTTATCAGGATCCATATTTGGAACCGATCGAATTGAAAATTTACCTGATACCTTACAAGGTAATACAGTTTTGACTCCTGGCGCAGAAAACGCACCTTCGATACCATGTATAGAAAGTGATGGATAACGCCAACTTATATTATATAAGAAAAGAAGAGTTAGTTTTTTTAAAAAAAAAAAAAAAATTATCATGGTTGCATATTAGAAAGTTTTTTATTTTGTGTAGGATTACCGGGCCTGTAAAGTTTGAGTTTCAGTATCAAATATATTGGTTTTAGATTCAATGGCCGAGTGAAGTTCATCCAACTTGAACTCGATGGATCGATAAGTTTCCCTTTCTTCATCTAAGTATTCATCAAGAGAATTTAGAAAAATTTTTTTATTATTAATTTGTTCGTATAAAAACTTTCTTCTTTATTTACCCTTCAATTCTGCTACTTCATCACTAATTCCAGGAATCAAGATTTTTCCATCTGGTGTGACCAATTTACTGAACAAAATAATCAAATCTGTCATGGGCTCATAAACAGTACCACCAAAAACTCCAGAATGAAGGTCTCTTCCTGGACCGGAAACTGTGACGCTAAAGTAAGAAATGCCCTTAAAAAAAAAAAAAGAATACAAATGAAATTATGAGCGAGTTTGACTTACTAAAAGATCACATGATTCATATTAATAACATACGCGTAAACCGTAAGTCAGACAAGGTTTCGTGACGCCCAGCCAATAATTATCCGATATGCAAACTGCATCTACGCCTTTAAAATATCTATTGGCCTCCCGCGCAATCAATTCATCTAATCCTTCGGATCCATTTTCCTCCATTCCTTAATTTAATTCAACAAAACTATTTTAAGGAAGAAAACATGTTTAAATAAATAATCCATCAACATTCATTCTTGCCTACCTTCAAAACATATCTTTAAATTGACAGGAAATTCTACTCCTATCTTTTGATGTGCTTCAATCGCGTTGAGCCATCCAATGATTGGACCTTTGTCATCTGAAGATCCACGACCTACTAAGCGACCAGTAGAATCTTCAACTAATTTCCAAGGATCGGAATTCCAACCATCTTCAAGCAAGGCCTTTGTTAAAAAAAAATCATTGTCATTATTAATAAATTTATCATATCATAAAATGAAATTTTCAAAGTAACAAATCCTTACAGGCTGAACATCATAATGACCATAGACCAAAACAGTTTTTTTTTTAGGATCATTGCCGTAAGTACCTAACAAGATACGTGGTAATTTCAAGTTTTTCCCACACATCACGTGAGAACCGACATCGACAGCTTCATAACTTATTCATAAGACGAAATTTTTTTAAAAAGAGGTCATCGATAAATATCGAGAATATTTTATAAATTGCATACCTAATACCAAGGTTCTTGAACAATTCGATGAGCCAATTACCCATCCGGAAGACATCTTCGCGGCGATCTGGATCACTACTTATACTAAAGTTATGGATCGAATTACATATTTGCACAAGTACGAAATTTCAGAATTTTTAGACATGGATTTGGAATAATATTTATTCAAAACATTTCTTATTGAAAAGAGGTTATATAGTAAAGAACATTCATTTTAAACGTTTAAAATCAATCTTCATAATACGAGATAAATATTAAACAAGAGTCGTCTTTAAGACACCTGCATTTAAAAAAAGGTCCCTCAAAAATGTATTTCAGTAACGTACCTCGGTATAGCTACTGCTTCTCTTAACCTATCAACATAATGATTCTGATTTTCGTCAACATAATTGAAAAATTTTTGCAATTCTGTCTCGTTTGCCATTGTATCTTAAAAACTTTTTTAATTTGAAAGAAAATTTGTCTTCTGTGTGCAAGTTTTATTTAAATTTAATCGGCGTGGGCAATTTTTACTTGAATCTGACCATTAATTCCTAATATAGAACTTAATCAATCAGCGCCAAGATAAATTTTGTCAATCTAAATCAATAAAAAATAATTTTTATATAGAAAAAATAGAGGAACAATTTTTAAAAAAAAAAGTGTTGAAAATGATAGAAGGGAAGTTGTAAGGTTGGAGAAGTTAAAGAAAAGTTGGAGGCGAATGAGTTTTGGAAGAAGGAGGTTAAAAGTGGGGAGATGCATTACTTAAATTTAACAAAAAAGGTAATGGACAAATTGCGTAAAAATATACAAATAGAATTATTTTCCATTCATTCCATTTCGTTTATATATTTATTTGTTTGATGACATTTGGTATACTGTTTATTATATGGACCAACTGTATCTAAAAATTTTCTGAAAGATATAGGTACCCCATTCAATATCAGTTCAACTAGTTGACTCGATATATCATTAATCCTTACATCCAATTTTATGCAGAACCTGCAAACTCAACAAATAAAAACCATATTATAAATCCGCAGCTGAATATCATTCCGAGATGCAGTTTCAAATACTAAAACTTTAAAAGAAGATGATTCTGAAGATGGACTTCATGAAAGATGGTGGATTGTTAGGCATTGTTTCTTACCTTTCTTCATTCCAAGTTTAACGTAATGTTGCCTCTAGAAGCACCTTAAAACGTAAACGTGTGAACGCACATGTTGAATAATTCTCATGGAAGAAAAAGCTGAAAAAAATGACCCGACATGAATTGATGAATAAATTGCATGGCCGCCTCATTATCGCAAATTGCCATTTGTTATTGCTATTGCAGTAGCAGATGATACTTTCTCTTTCAAAATACTTGATCGCTTACTAATCTTATAGGTGAATTTAAGGTTAATCTGGCTTCTCGGGATAAGTGGAGGTTTATCAGTATTCTTTTCAGTTAAATTTTTGATTTGAAAAATTATTTTACTTTATTATGGAATATTATTTTGATCATCCTTTATGTTCCGTGTAGAGGCATGTATCAATGAAAGTAGATAACCATTTCCCTTTGGTGTTTATAATGTGTGAATAGCAGAAGAAGATTGGGGTCGAGAAATAATTATCAATTCCGCAGTAATTATCAAGACAAATGAAATGAAAAGGTGCATGTTATCTTAAAATATTGCATTACATATTGCAATTTGCTATATTGTCCATTGTGTCTATAGTGTTCATCAAAGAGGGTGTATAGTAAACTTTCGATGACCAAATGTGGTAGAACGAAATAATTTTTTCCGTGATAGATGCAGGCGATTTTTACAACGCTATGGAAAGGCCATTTACAGTAACATTTTGATCCAGTCACTGCTGATTCCTATAAACCTGCAACAGACATTCATATTAAATTTATGGAGGATGCAGAAAATAATAAAACTTACTATGTTTCCATGGGAACAACGCCCGCCCCACCATTGGTTGAGTTATCATATTCATTATAATCTTTTTTTTCTTCGCTATTTTTTTCTTCGGTAATACTTTGCAAATTTCGCTTTCAAAGAAGCCGCATTATGATTTTGTGCTTATAACGGAGGATTTATATGATGTGATTGTATTGGGGGTGACTGTACTTGTAAATACTCGATTTTTTTTCACATAGCATAAAGTTCTCTGCAATTCAAAAGCAATGTAATAAGAAGACGAATTATTTCCTTGATTTACTTTCTGATTCAACTCCCTTAGACAAGGTTTTTTTGAACATTTATGATCACCAGTTTCTTCCGGAAGGATATAGTTTGTACGTATTCGATTTCTAGAAGGTGGAATATTAGATTCTACTTCAGAATAATTATTAGATATCGTTGGATTTGTTGTTCCCGGAGACCGCTATCATGATATTCACTTCGACGGGAAGGTATCGACCTTTCTTCTGAAGTATTACATGGCTTGCTTTTCCTCGCTTAGTTCTTGGTTTACCTTCATACTTAATAGATTTTAAAAAGTAATATGTGAAATAGATGATATATGTTGAAACACAACGTTATACTACTCATCCTCTTTTTTTTGATTTCTCTTCAACATAATCTGAATCCGAATTCGTTTCTGCGTCATATTCAACATAATTTATTCTGCTACTTTTTCTGAGTGCCCTTCCCTGATGAGTTTCTTCTTAACTGGTTCTCTTATTTGACGCTGAATTCTTTCTTCTGGATTTCTGTAGTAGTATACAAAATAAGAGATGAGTAAAGATACTTTATCATTAAGGAAGGTTCACCCCAGTATCACTACAAAGTTTTCAACACACACTTGACCTTACAATAATTTGTCACACCTCCACTTGAGGACAGAAAATTTTTCGATGTGGAAATACTTGTAGATCAAATTGGGCAAAACTAGTTTCCCGAAACATTACATCCTCCAATATTCTGGCCTATTAGAATATTATATAATATTTTTACTTAAGTGATCAAATTAAAATCATAGAATTATTATCAAACTAAAACTTACGTGATATTCTTTATTTTTAGGTATGGAATTTCTATAAATATCGAAAGAAATCTTCAATTCTTCTCATATGTGCCGTGACAAAATTAGGGATAAGATAATGAGCCTACCAAATATCTATACAAACACATCAATGTGAACATTAATATTTACTTACATTAAAAAAATTATCGCTCATCATAGCCGATTCCTCCTCCAGAATAAGCAGACCTTAATCATAGTAAGATGTGCACGTCGCAGAGGAAGTGAGCCACTAACAACGGATGGACGCTCTTTTTCCCTGTGTACGCGTAGCACACTCATTATCCTCGTTAATATTTCACATTCCTGAGAACGCGTAAATTCTAACCTTAAGTTTACGACTCAGTTTTTTATCTCGTCTTTGGCTTCAATTGCTTTATCAGAACTTCCAACTCTTTATCTAAAGCACGGTGTAACGACTCCTTTGTCTCAACTTTTGTTTGTTGTTCGAGGTCCCATGTATTTAAATTCCACTCTGCAAATGGCCTCTTCCAGTAATTAACGTAATAAGCTTCACGTATCACTTGTTTGAAAAAAGTAATTTATCTAGAATAAAAGAGCTCGCAAAATATTATATCCACTATGATTCAGATGACTAGAATTGAAACTTTGACACGAAAACGCGAAAAATTCCCGCAGGCACTACACGATATATTTATCAGCACGTGCACGTTACACTTATCACTTTGTTATTACGGCATAGCAACCAATTTTGTAGGCGTAACTTTGAGAAAAAGAAAAAGGAAAAATTTTTGAGGAGGGGTTTTTTTTTATTTTGTTCGCAGGCCGCCGTTAAAAAGGCACTTTTTTTAAAGCAAAAATTCTTGGATAAAATCCAAATCTGTTCATGTGACCAACTGATCAGCAGTAAAATATTAACCGGATTCATAATATGTATGATTAATTACTTATTTAGGAAGCAATCCATATTTGAACTTTTTGCAAAAATGTCCTCCTCACTTGGTAATAAACCTACTAAAAGTATTCTCAAGAAACCATCTATAAATTTTCAATCAAAAGTACCAAAGTAATCTTTTTTAAAATACCAAAGCATAAGGTTTTCAAAAGATCTCATAAATGGTTGATAACAACCTTTTTTACGGGTTTTTTTTTATTATAGATTAAAATGGGACGAAGACAATATTCAGTTAACCGAAGCACAGAAGAATTCTACAATGAAAATCACAGAACCTAAAACACCGTATATTCATTATAACCAAGAAACAGATGAGATTATGACCGATCTTGAAAGTATGTTTGGTCGTATGCTTTTTAAGTAAGTGGCTATAAAGAAAGCTACTCATAATTTGATAATCTATAGCTATCCCTGGATTAGCATTGGGATCTAGTAGTATTGGCTCTAGTAATAATCAAGGCTCTAGCGGCGTTTCTCCTGTAGGATCACTTTCATCAGTTTCTCCATCATCAGCCCATTTTCCTGATTCAATTAAAGACGATTGGGATTCTGAAAATTCCGAAGAGGATGAAGAGAGTAAGTCTATTTGCTTACTTTAAACAAATTGCATCTTAATAATTTTACTTTTTGTTTAATAGCTAAGGCCAAACGTAAGAAATTTGCTCGGCTCAGAGCACAGCATTACAATATGAAGGAAGCACTTCGATTAGGTCATAAGTTGGTGGAAGAGGATGTAGATGATGATGAAAATAGTAAAAAGAAATCCCCCTGATTGGCTAAAATTTTCCCTAAAAAGAATATTTTGTTGCTTTAAATTATACGCTAAATTTGGTAATCCCGTGACCTTTATTCAATTAAATTGTAATATTAATGATGTTTTAATAAAATTTTACATATTGTATATAAGAAGTTTAAATTTATATAATTTATTAAATTTATTAGCATTAAATAATATTTAAATAGATAAGATAATAATTAATTAATTATTAGCATATGTATTGATTAATTTAAAAATAAAATAAAACTTTATAAATATAAAACCTTTTTATTATAATTAAATTTACTAGTTATATTTTATATAATTAATATATTGACCACTATTTTTTTATGTTATCATTATCATCTTCAAGAATAATTTCATTAATTTTTTCAGTTGAATTATTATTATTTTATTAAGGGGCATGCCAGAAATCAGCTGATTTAAAAGGGGGGTGGGGTCGATCTTTATATCAGGTGGTTATAGTCACGTGATATACCTAATGTAAAATGATTGGTCAGTTCGATTTAACTAGAAATGTTGGCAAAAATCACATGCCAAATACAATTGTAATAAAATGATTGGTCAGAATCATAATATTCACATGC